ACCCTGGAAACGAGAAGGGAACAGGAAGCCTGTGAAACCTTGCAGTCAAGTGTGACAATGTGCAGAAACGGGCCTGGGGCCCGACGACCATGCTGAGTCATTCCTCTCTGGACACAGGTTTTATGGAAGCAGCATAATGGCACAGGCCAGAGACTCTCTAGAAAGAAAAGTTACTCCAATTCCCAAACTGTTCTCTAGTTTCACTTTCGGCAAGGCAGTCTCTGGACAGGATTCTGATCAGTACTGCTTATCAACACAAGTTTTCCCGTACGTAGAACATTAAAAGCAGGTACCAGGTACGCAGAAGTTCCTGAGCATGGTGGCGGAAGCTATCAAAAGAGGCATTAGAGGTATCAGAGCTTAACGGGCCCTGGAAAGCTAGTCCACCTCTCCCCCCAGCACTGAGCAAATGAGGGGCCTCGGTTACTGCTCTTTGGAAGCGGTGCCTGTGGCGGTGCCCGGGATCCCCAGCTCGGGGTTCTGCTCCTCATACTGCTCACACCCCAGACCTTGAGCTGTGGAAAGACTTCCTAAAATGCAGGCTTCCAGGGCTGACTACTGCCTAAGAGGGCAGAGTAAGAAGTGGGTGAGGAGAGGATGCCCAGGATGACCCAGCCAGAGGCTCGCAAGGTCCACCCCACACTCCCTCCTGCGCTTTCCCTGCAGGACAGTGGGCAAGGACCAGAACCAGCCCACAGAAGGTCAGAGACAGACCTGTGTGCTTCTTCCCTTACTCACTTAACTTTTTCCCAGTTTCCAAATTACATGGGCCTGCCTGCAACATCCTATTTCTGAACCACTTCTCCCCACAGTGGGTTCAAGACCTCTCTATCCCTCTGTCCCCACCTTACCAAAAATTGCTCTGAAAAGATCACATGGGCTTATTCACCTCAAGTGTAAACTGGTGGTTTCCAAAATGTGATCCCCAGATCACCAGCAGCAGCATGCAAGAATTTAGCAGAAATGCAAATTCTTGGGCCTGCTGACTCAGAAAGTCTGGAGGCAAGCCCAGCAATCTGGGCCCTCCAGGGGATTCTAATGCACGCTCAAATCTGAGGCCCAATGGAGCATATAACCTGTAAGGTTCAACCTGTTACTTCTCTCCCAATATGTGACTCTTAAATGACACACCTGAATGACCTCTAGAATCTCAAGCCTAGGAGTCCATGTAGCTGCCACTGGAAGGAGAAACTTCCCAACTCAGCATATTCTTGCTTCCAGGGTCCAAAACCTTATGCAAGAAAATACATCAACTGTCCTTTAAGCCTTAACCAGAGGCAGGAAAGCCTGGGCATGGGGAGAAAGGTGACCCTGCAATGCGAACTGTGACGCAGGACCTCTTTTCACCAACTCCCGACTAATGAGGCCTTTCGGAAGGGAGAAAGGTGGCTCCGTGGGCCTCGACCTCTCCCTGGCTGTGGCACTGACTTGAGGTTGCTCTGCCCGGATGCCGTCCCACAAAATGCAAACTGCAGGTACTTGTTCTGCAGTAAAACTGGCCTGGGCCAGACACTCAGGGAGGTTTCTGAACCCCCTCCACGGGGTTTCACCCTGAGACCGACAACAAGCACCTACTATGGGTCCCTTGACACTTCCTGGGACACAATGGAGCAGCACGTGAGGCTCCAGGGGTGTGTGTCAGGAAGGTGGGACTGGGGTGCAGGACTGGCACTGCAGACACTGCCAACCACAGCCTTAAGAGAACAGCATTAACAACCCTGCCAGCTCCCGCTCTCTGTCCTTGTCCCATACCTACACTCATTAGCCTTCCACTTCTCTAGCTTATCCCGGGGCCTTATTCTCAAAAGGGACTCTGGCTTCTTAGAGAAAAATGGGTGTTGGACTTCCACATCTCTCAAAGCCCTGACTATGAGAACCTTGTCTAACCTGACGGTGAAGAAAAACAAAATTTTTATTTTTTTTTTTAATTTTTTTTTTTAAGATTTTATTTATTCATTTGACAGAGAGAGATCACAAGCAGGCAGAGAGGCAGGCAGAGAGAGAGGAGGAAGCAGGCTCCCTGCTGAGCAGAGAGCCCGATGCGGGGCTAGATCCCAGGACCCCTAAGGCAGCGGCTTAACCCACTGAGCCACCCAGGTGCCCCAGAAAAACAAAATTTTTTTAAATGATGTCTCCCTTTCTCCTTCCACCTTCTTTATTCCCAGAAATGAGACAACCTCACATTCAGAGATCCAAGCTTTAGATTTCCACTCCACAGATTTGGGCTTCAAACTCAAGATTTGGGGCTCTGTTGGCAAATTTAGTTTGATCTTGTATAAAAAGGGGCCACTAAATGCCAGCCTCCCACCCAGGGATAAATGAAGGATTAACCAGTTACTGTTAACCAAGTGCTTTGAGCAATTCGGAAAAGAGACCCCAATTAAAAAAAGGATTATTATAATAATCCCTTCCATTAGAATAGACTTTTATTGTTCACCCAGCACTTCTACATATATGACTTCATCTAATCCTATTATCCACAGTCTTAATTATTCCTGCAAGGCCAGGTCTGCCATTACTGCTAACAGAATTTCTGAATACCAGGGAGAGGGACCTCAAAACATCTGCCCTGCCTAACCACCACAAGGTAGAGAGAACAAGAGCATGGACAATGAGTTCCTCTGCCGAGAGCCACTCTGAAGAAATCCGAGACATATCTGGACTGGCAGTCACAAAAGTTCTCTATGCCCCAAACACACCAAATCACAGAGAGTCCTCACCCCGGCATCTCCGATTACCCCAGCACGGATCCAGGCTGAAGACTCCTGGAATATATCCGCACACCCCAGATGCCCGCTGCTCCTCCACTCCTCTCCCTTCCAAATCAATTAGGAGCCTCCTCCACCCTTCAGCCTCCCGTGGGATTCCGGACTTGAGCTAGACCCCCATGGGACCCCGTGCTAGGAGTCAGACTGGCTGAAAGGAGGAGTCGTTGTCAGAAACTCCTCCCATGGGCTGGCTGGGCTGAAGCATAGCATGAGGGGCCTTTCCTGAGTGACCCTGTCCCCTCCAGCAGGCTGGAAGGGATCTCACTTAGCTGGTCACTTTCAGTTCCCACAGGCCAATAGGGGCACAACTACCAATTCTTCTCAGCCCCAACCTTTCCTACAACTTGTACCAAAACCAACACCCTCCTCCAGCCCGCTTTATTTCCCTGTTTAGATTCATCCAACCCTGAATCCATTAGCTGGTGTTTGTTTTCTCTTAAAACCCTTTGATCTTTAAGACACTCCAGCCCAGACCTTGTTTCTCTTCCTCCTACTCCCTCTCCTCCTCCTCCTCGACTGAACAACTCAGCAGGAAAGGCACTGGCTGCACCAGCAGCTTCTCACCTCCCAGAAGCTTCCCCCACACTGTGCTGCTGGTGATCTTCAGCCCCATCTCTGAACTCTCAGATTAAGGTTTGACTTTATTTTTGTTCTGAAACCTCAGCTTCCGATCCTGCTCCACCAAGACAGAGACCACCCCTTCATCCAGCATGGCGAGAGGCACACCAGTTTAGGGGACAGCATGTATTGGACTTCCAAGGTTTCAACAGAAGTGGCACTGCAAGTTTGAAAGGAAGGGTCAAGGAAGCAGAGCAGACACTACATTTGACTCTCTCCCTGTCCTCCTTACACTTGCCCCCACCATGCTGCCTGTCCCTGCCACTGGTGAGGTGCCACAGAACAACAACGATGAGAGAACACCACAACCCTGCATGGCCAGTGTGTTATCATCCCGATGCTGCACACAGGAAAACTGAAGGACATCAACTTTGAGAAACTTGCTCAAAGTGATATTATGTGTTAGTGGCAGAATTAGGATTCAAACGAGCCTGTCTGGCCCCAAAGACTGTATTCTTTTTTTTTTTTTTTATTAACATATAATGTATTATTTGCTCCAGGGGTACAGGTCTGTAAATCCTCAGTCTTACACATTTCACAGCACTCACCATATCACATACCCTCCCCAATGTCCATCACCCAACCACCCTCTCCATACCCCCCCATCCCCCAGCCACCCTCAGTTTGTTTTGTGAGATTAAGAGGCTCTTAGGGTTTGTCTCCCTCCTGAACCCATCCTGTTTCGTTTTTTCCTTCCTTACCCCTCAAGACCCCCGTCCTGCCTCTCAAATTCCTCATATCAGAGAGATCATATAAAGACTGCATTCTTAACCCTACTATGAAATCTCGTCTCCCCTACTCGCTGGCTCCTATTTGCCTCCCAGCTTTGGGTATAGACTTCTCTCCCTCAGAAAAAGCTACTGGGGCCCTCCCTATCCGAGTCAGGAACCCTTCTTACATGTAGTCCTCTAGTCCAGGGCCTGTCCTGACCACAGCATGCGTCACGCAGAACTGCAGCAGGTGCAGTCCTGGTGTGCAGCAGGGGGGTCAGCAAGTGACCAAGTACATCAGAGGATCAGAGGAGCCGTCTGCTCTGTGCTCCTTCTGGGGTACAGCACTGGCCCTGGCTGCAGCTGCCCTCCTCTCATGGACATACTACAAGGACCCAACTACAGGTGAGACCTTCCACCACAATCCAGTCCAGTGCCTGGCCCCAGAAAGCCCTCCATGGCATTATATACTTCCTGCTGTCCTCCCTGCCCACCTTATGTCAACACACGCTTGCTAAATGAGGTAATGCTGCTGAGGAAAATACCAAACCCAGTAGGTACCACAGCAACCCTGGCCACCCCGAGTCATTAGGTCTTGGAGCAAGTCTATAGGGTGTGTGTATCATGGTCTGCAGAACAAGGGGTTCAGGCTTCCCAAAGCTGCAATTCCGAGATGTCTTTTTTTTTTTTAAATGTTTTATTTATTTATTTAAGGGGGGGGGGAGAGAGAGAGAGAGAGAGAGAGAGAGAACACGCACCAGAAAGAAAGCATGAGCAGTGGTGGGGCCGGGGAGGTTGGGGAAGGTAGAGGCAGAAGCAGACTCCCCGCTGAGCAGGGAGCCCGATGCAGGACTCAATCCCAGGACCCTGGGATCATGACCTGAGCCAAAGGCAGAGGCTTTACCGACTGACCACCCATGCACCCCCTTTAATTCCCAGAAGTCTTAACAAGCTGATTCCTTTCCATCAAAAATAGTCAAGGTTCCCAGAACTGGAAACTTGTTCTCTGACAACCTCAAGAGAAAGGACTAGGAGCTCCTACTAATTCCATGCAAGAAATACACACAAAGCCTACTCTCCTCCCCCCAGACCCTATTAATTCTAGTAGTAAGGGCATGAGCGGTGTCTCATAGAAGATGTGACTTCGAATTGGATTTTGAAGGATGAGGAGTCGGGTTCAGGAGGAAGGAGAAGAGGCACAATTCTAGCCACAGGAATCCAGCCACTGGAAGAATAGTGAGAATAGGCTTTGAAGGTGCTAATGTTCAGAAAAGGGCGAAAAGGAGTCCCCTTAGCCTTGACTTGAGAGATGCGTAGAGGGAATTATGGGTGGGGAAAAAGGGGAGCCAAACCCATTCTTTCAACCTGGGAATTATTTCTTTGTATGCCAGGCCATGTCCTAAGTGCTTTACATATACAATCTTATTTAATTCTCACAATCGTCTTATGAAGTAGGCACTATTATCATCCCCACTCTAGCGAAACAAAGACAGTATGGTCAGGAACGTTATCCAAGGTAACACCGATCGCTACGAGTAGGGGCCACATTCAAATTGAGGCAAGTGGACTTCAAGGTCCATGCTTTTAATCAGAACGCACTGCCTCTCCAAAAACAAGGAGTCCATAAAAAAGAAAGAATCTTGCCATCCGCAACAACATGGATGGATCTAGAGGACATAATGCTTAGTGAAGCACATGACATAAGTGAAATACAGCAGGGGTCAGAGAAAGCCAAATTCAATGTGATTTCACTCATCAGTGGAACTTAAGAAACAAAACTAATCAACAAAGAAAAAAAAGAGACAAAAAACCCAGACTCTCAGCCACAGAGAATGCACTGATGGTTATGGGGGGGTGGGGTGGGGATGGGTGAATTAGGTGAAAGGGATTAAGAGTACACTCAACCGTAATGATCACTGACTAATATACAGAATTGTTGAATCACTATACTGTACACCTGAAACTAATATAACCCCATATGTTAATTACACTGGAATTAAAAACAACACGCAAGGCGCATGCCTGAAGAATAATGACAGCCGGATGTCACACTGAGCTGTACTAGTGACCTCAATGGCCCCATGAGAGCTGCAGGTGGTATTTACTATTCTAAGGTGTTGATGAGTTGAATCCTATCCCACCTAACAAGAGACAGCTCTGTGAAAAAATGCTAGGGGACAATGTTTTTTTAATAGTTATAATCTAGGGGCACCTGGGGCACCTGGCTGACTTGGTTGGCAGAGCATGACTTTTTTTTTTTAAGATTTTATTTATTTGACACAGAGAGAGAGAAAGAGAGAGAGAGTCAGAGAGCACAAACAGTGGCAATAGCGAGGGAAAAGGAGAAGCAGACTTCCCACTGAGCAAGGAGCCTGATACAGAACACGATCCCAGGACCTAGGATCATGATCTGAGCTGAAGGCAGACACTTAACTGACTGAGCCACCCAGGCACCTGGAAGAGCATACAACTCTTGACCTCTGGGCCCCACGTTGGGCGTAGAGATTATTTAAATAAACAAATAAATTAACTTTTTTAAAGAAATAGTTATAATCGGGGTGCCTGGGTGGCTCAGTGGGTTAAAGCCTCTGCCTTCAGCTCAGGTCATGGTCCCAGGGTCCTGGGATTGAGCCCCACATCGGGCTCTCTGCTCAGTGGGAAGCCTGCTTCCTCCTCTCTCTCTGCCTGCCTCTCTGCCTACTTGTGATCTCTGTCAAATAAATAAATAAAATCTTAAAAAAAAAGAAATAGTTATAATCTCACCCTATCTTCCAGTACATTCAGATTTCATGCTTTAGGCTGGCTTCAGGTGAGGCAGGTAAACAGGGTTAGGAGAGATCAGCAGCCAACAACCCTTTTTCATGCAGCAGCACAGAAAGGCTTTCTCTAAATACTGCTGTCCCTCTGGGCCTCAAAGCTCACCCAAGTCAGACCAAGGTCACTCCTGACCTGGCCACACTCCAAGCAGCCAGCCACCCAGAATGGAAGTGGAGGGCTGCTCAGACCCTCCGCAGGCTCACCCTCCTGAGTGAGGCAGAGGAAAGGAATCTCCCAGAGGGTAAGAGGTGAGGAAAAGAATCAACCTGCAAACCTACCAGAATAATTAAGAACTTTGAAAGCAGGCCCTAGATTTTTCGGTTTTGTTTTTAAAGCATCCTGTGGCCTCTTTTGCAGAAGGAGTTGGGCATCTAAGGATAACATCCTCGCTCACAAATTAGGCCTGGGTAGTAGGGCACCTTTGCTTAGAAGGTGGAATCTGTGTTGACTGAGGGCTTTAACCAAAGTAAGACCCACTCAGATGTTCAGTTCACTGGACTCCTGGTTTCTGTTCCTCAAAACTTACAGTGCAAGGCTGATGCCACGCGTCTGCAGTGTTCTCAACAGTGTTCTCTTCCTTATCCTGAACAACAATCAGCCTGAGGAAGGTAATTTCTCAATGTCTTTTCCTGATGCCACCCTTCAGCAAGCCCCATAATGACCCATCCAGCCTCCTCCCACAATCCTCAAGTCTTTTTATAGTCACAGGTAATTACACCATGGAGAGATTACATCACTTCATCGGCAGTGTTTACAACTGACAGGAAGATGCTGTGCGGATGTTTTGGGAACTACATCCTCATTTAGCAAACAAATTGCTGTGGTTCCTATTGTTCTTTTCCAAGAATAGAACCACCTTGGCAAACTTTGTGCCTAAACTGGGAACCAAACAACTAAGGGCCATTGTAGATGAGAACAGAAATCACCAGAGGCAAACATGGTAACCCAGTGATGACTCCTTCATCCTTTATCCAGGGGAAAAAATACAGACGGCATCTTTCTTTCTGTCAAAAGAATCCTCTGAAGGTTGCCCTGAGTGCTCCAATAGGGTGACACAAGAAATGGGTCTCAGAGAAGCCTACCACTCAGCACAGGCAGTGTGGTTCTCAGCAGACCCTGGGCAGCAGAGTTAAGACAGACTGGGCACAAATCCCAGTCAGCTTCTCCACTGACAGCTGCCTGTCTCTGAGAGGGTTATGTAACCTCTCTCTGCCTCAGTTTCTCATCTATAAAATGGTTACATGACCACCCAGCACACAGCCTTTCCAAAAGCTTCAAATGGGATGATACACAGAGAGCCTGACACATGAATGATGCTCTGTATGCATCAGCTTCCAGCTTGTCCTCTCCCCCCAGCTCAGTGTACATTATCTCTGACCCCAGATCCCTTCAGAGATGGCGATGGCCACCTGTCAACCTCTCTCAGCTACAGCAAAGTCAAGGGCCAAAGCCACATCCAACCCGAGAGCCTTGTTCTCAGCATTTTCCATCATCAGTGAACACTAACTGCCAGGCTTTCTCACGCATAGAAACGTAGATGGCTGTTTTCCCTGCTATTTTAAAATTGCTTTGGGTGCTTGTGTGACGTTTAACATGGCTTAGAGTGTCATGGAAAACACTTTAAGGGGGGGAGGAATCAGAAACAGGGGCACCTGGGTGGCTCAGTCAGTTAACTGTCTCCCTTTGGCTTGGGTCATAATCCCAGAGAGCTGGGATCAAGCCCCACATTGGGCTCCCTGCTTTTCCCCACATTGGGAGTTCTGCTTCTCCCTCTCCCTCTGCTCCTCCCCTCCTTGCTTTTCTCTCTCTCTCTCAAAATAAAATCTTAAAAAAATTAGAAGTCAGAAACAAGTAAAATACAGAGTTTTTTTTTTTTCTAGTAAATCCCCTCAGGAAAGGGAGAGAATGAAAATCAAAAGCTTTTCACATGAGTCAGCGAGCAGCCGGGTTGAGACCATCACACTAGACCTTTCCGGAAGGCAAAGGGGTTTCAAAAAGACCAGTCCTTCCTCAACTGGTCAAGTCAGACACCTGGTCCCACTTCCTTATCCTGAACACAAAAAATGACTTTGCATCTTTAGTTTTGTTTTTTTAAATACAGCAAAGAATGTCATCTGCATAAAAATCTCCTGCCCAGCATGACTCAACAGCGGGTCACATACCAACTCTGTTGTTGTCATTATTTGGTAATTACAGCACACATTTTATATGCCAAGTATCCTCCAATCATTTTTATTAGGCTACACAACACCAACCTCACATCCTCAAGGATTTTGTTTCTGTTTTGAAGGAGACACAAAGAGGTCAAATGATTTGCCTAAGGTCATAAAACATAGGTTTCTTTCTTTTTTTTTAGATAAAGTTTCTTGAGATCATAGGTAAAGGCACCTGGGGGGCTCAGTCAGTTATGCATCTGCCTTCAGCTCAGGTTGTGATCCCAGAGTATGGGATGGAGTCCCACACTGGGCTCCCTGCTCAGCAAAGAGTCTGTTTCTCCCTCTCCCTCTGACCCTCCCCCTGCTGCTCATGCTCTTTCTCAAATAAATATATTAATTTTTTTTTTTAAATCACAGGTAAAGGGAAGGAGTTGTGAGATCTGAGAAAGGCTGCTACACAGTCAGGACCCTAATTCCTCTCTAGCCCAAGAAGAGAGGCAAGCTGGGTACTCTGCATATATATATATATGTATGTATATGTATATATGTGTCATATATATATATATATATATATATATATATATCCAGAGTACCCAGCTTATATATATATATACACACATATATATGTATGTATATGTATATGTGTATGTGTGTGTGTGTGTGTGTGTGTGTATGTTGTTGTTGTTTTTTTAATTTTGGTCTGCCTACACAGTGTGAACCAGGTGTGAAGGTAAAATATGCTTCCTTGGGGCACCTGGGTGGCTCAGTGGGTTAAGCCTCTGTCTTCAGCTCAGGTCATGATCTCAGGGTCCTGGGATCAAGTCCCACATCAGGCTGTCTGCTTGGTGGGGAGCCTGCTTCCCCTCTCTCTCTGCCTGTCTCTCTGCCTACTTGTGATCTCTCTCTGTCAAATAAATAAAAATCTTAAAAAAAAAAAAAAAAGCTCTTCCTTTTGTCACTCCCCAAAAGGAGACTTCTAATAATTTTCTCCATCTCTGTTTAAGGAATGACCAAAGGGGAAGCTGGACCTACTGCCTCTGGAAACCAAGATGGAAAACTGAACCTTGATCATGGCATAACTCTGCACCAGAATTCTCTAGTGCCTGTCCTACATGATTCTTTTCTACACCTGAGCAATTATGACCAAGACTAAGGTGACTGTGGTATTTTATAACCAGAGACTACACTGATGAATTGCCCCCCTACAGGATGCCCACTTCCCTATGTCCAGTGGGACTCTCCCAGAAGCACATTCAAGGTCTACTAGAGCCCACTGGGTAACAAAGACTGTGTAATTTACAAGCACCTCCTTTTAAAATGCTTCCGGAATGGGTGTTCAGGTGCAGCTACAGGAGCTGGTAAGATACATACCAAGAGGAAAAGGGAACCTTTCCTGAACTGAACTGCCTTTCCTTGACCTCAGAGTATCTGAAAGTCTTGGTTTCTTGGCAAGCCTGTCTGGCAAGCTGCTTATGGCAGGCACAGCCATACAGGTGTGCTCGGGTTTCAGGCCAAGGAGTGGGTGCCTTCCTTCCTGAGAAGCCACTGCAGAGAGGGAAACGCACTGGCAGCGCCATGGTACACTGGATCTAAGTAATGGGGCCACCCCTTCCCTTGCCTGCATCCTGCTCTGTGCCAGTACACATTTTACGGGGAGTAGAAAAGACCTGGGGGTGGGGTGGCAGGGGAGGGAGGATTCTGTGCAGATGGGGGAAGGAAAAAAACTACAGAGCCAACTTTTCCATCCTGCTCTGAGCCCACACTACAGACATACGTTTTTCCACATTGGAGAATAATAATCCCTTTATCCAGCCAGTCTGAAACCATCAGTCCCTGATAATTGAATTCAGACCTTGGATGGAAAGTTGGGAAGGTGTGGGTAGTTGGAAAATGGGGTGGGAAATGGGAGGAGGCAATGGTGGAGCCCATAAAAAGGAGGGTGGCAGTAGGTGGAATGGTTTAATGAAGCTAAAGAGGCTAAAGACTTCAGAAACCAGAGGCAGACGTTCTACCCTACTATTGCCAGGTCACACAAAGGGACAGCTCCCCTAATGCAGCCTGGGAAGAAGACAGTCTTGGTAGCATACCAGGCACTAAGCCAGGTTCTGATCCTGGCCGTAGGACCCTAGGCGAGTACATGACCTCTAAAATCTAGCTCCGACAGTCATTCCACTTATGCACATACTTACTGAGCACCATTTGTTCTGGGCTAGGGGCAGGGTGGAAAATCTCTTCAATAAAGGGCTAAATGTTTTAAAGTCTAAATACTTTAGGTTTTGGGGGTGACACAGTTTATGTCACAACTACCCAACACTGCCACTATAATACAAACACAGACACAGACAAAATATATTATGAATGAATATTGCTATGTTCCAATAAAACTTTATTTATGGACACTGAAATGTGAACTTACAATTTTTATATATACATGAAATATTATTTTGATTTTTTCCCAATCATTTAAAAATATAAAACCATTCTTGGCTCACAGGCCATACAAAAGCAGCATAGAGGACTTGGTCCAGGGACCATAGCTTGCCAACTTCTACTCTAGACTACAGTGGTGAACAAGACAGGGTCTTCACATCCTGTGGCTCTGTGACTACCACTTCTACAGAGCATCTCTGGCTTGGGCTGCAGGCCCTGGGAACATAAGCCCTGCTTCACCTGGCTGTATGTTGGTGGATCCTGGCCACTTTTTCCTCTGGAACTTCATATAGCCACAATGCCCACATTGTGGGGTCCCAATCATTAGCGGCCTCCTTGACTGTGCTAGGAGCTCCTCACAACCAAAGAGGTCTTAGGCTTTATGGCAAAGGTTTAAATTAAGTGTCAAAGCAGGGTGAAGAGGAGGCAATGGACAAGATCAGTACATGCGTGGCGGAGAAGGCTACAGTGCAACAAAAGACACGTCACTATTTCTCCCAGCAGCTCAAAAGAAAAATCATAGATGAGACTGCACCATTATCTGTATGTGCTGGGTTAAGTGGGTGGTGGGAGATGACAGAGAATGAGAGAGAGCACTGAGCTATGGGGACTCTATACACTGCACTACACCACACTGCCCCTATCCTTCCAAAGTCCCCTTCTAGAATTTAGCTAAGATCCCTCTCTAGGGAATGCTGTCCAAAGAAAACTACCATCTGTACATATCTAATGAAGTCTGGTAGGGGTCACATTACTATCATAATTAGTTGAGGGGTGCATGCAGCTCAGTCGGCTGGGCGTCCAACTCTTGATTTCAGTTTGGGTCGTAATCTCAGAGTTGTGGGATTAGGTCCCACACTGGGCTCCCCACTCAGCACAGTGTGTTTGTCATTGTCCCTCTGTTCCTCCCCAACTTGTGTGCATGCATGCTCTCTCTAGTAAATAAATACATAGAATCTTTTTTAAAAATCATCATCAGGGGCACCTGGGTGTCTCAGTGGGTTAGGCCTCTGCCTTCTGCTCCGGTCATGAGCCTAGGTTCCTGGGATCAAGCCCCAAATTGGGCTCTCTGCTCAGTGGGGAACCTGTTTCCCTTCCTCTCTCTCTGCCTGCCTATGCCTACTTGTGATCTGTCAAATAAATTAATAAAATCTTAAAAAAAAAAAATCAGCATCAGTTGAGACCCTACTGGTGCTTGCAAATACAGAGGCTCTATGGAGGTTCTCTAGCATCACCCAGAGGCCTATGGTACAAACCCAAATATGCCCTTCCCTAGAAGTACGCCGGGTGTAGAGGACCACATGAACAGAACCTGGAAAGGTCTTCAGAGCACTGTGGAAGGCAATAAGGATCATACAAACTCAAAAAGGCTCACGGCTGCATTTCCAGCTGCTGCTAGGCCTCCTGCACCTCACCGGCTTCAATCAGAAAGTCCTCAGAATCAAGAAAATACAGAAGGAGGGAACTGGATAGGACCTTAAAGGTATCTGGGTCAACTCCTTCGTTTCATAAATGGAGAAACTGAGCCACGGAATGGCTAAGTGGCGTGTCCGAGATCACGAAGTTTAGAGTGTCAGTGACCAGGTCCTGGTTTCACTAAATTACAAGACCTCAACTCTACTTATTCTGAGAGAAAACATAAAGAGACAAGAAACAAACAATAACGAACTAACAATCATGAAGCACCAATTGTGTTAGACTAGTCCGCAGGTAGGGACTAATATCACCCCATTCTGTCGCTGAGGACACTGAGGCTTAGAGAAGTGAGATCTGCTCAGGTCCCAGAGCCAGCAACAGCAGCACTGGACTCAGAACACCGGCAGTCTGATTCCCAAACCTGCTGCCTATCATGCTCTGACCGCTACAGCTGCATCCTCCCTGCTGACTCCAGCTGTAGGGAGAGAGCCCATAACCTCACCCCCAGGATGTTCCTACACACCCCTCCCTTCAGCTGGCTCAGCAGGCCCCAACTGCCACACCCCCTTGACTGGCCCCCTGCTTTACCACAGCACAACAGGCTCCCTGCAACTGGCCTCTAGGTGGAGAGGCCCCTATCCCAGCTTTGGGAGAAACAATGGTGTGAGCCTTTTCCCTCCCCCACAGAGAGGCAGGCCCGAACCCACCTGAGGCAAGGCCGTCTCCAAGGAGGGTACTAAGGATCACCAGCGGAAGGAACACTCCATGTCCCACGGAGGCCACGGCCAACGCTGCGGTGCTCTTTGGTGCTATCCTGCCATGGCACATCTTTTATCCGTCCAAGTTATTTAAAAAAAAAAAAAAAATTTAAAAGCCAGAAGTGAGAATTCTAAAGTCAGCCACGGGTAGATTTACCTATAAAAAAAAAACAAAACAACAAAAAACAAAGACATAAGTGAAAGCTTCAGCCTTAAGTTTGTTGTAGGTAGACACTTTGATAAGGAAGCTATAGAGTCACACAAAGTTCACGAATTCTAGTAAGTGAATTCCTGCCACCAAGAAAGGACAGCCGCCCGAGTGGCCTTGCAACTTGTGTCTGGGGGAAATGCCGAGGCCTGCAGCAAAGTGCCACGAGCGTCCACGGCCAGGAGCCAGATCCTTGCAACAGGACAAGGACACAAGCACGGGCTCATCTGGAGATCTACCGGGCACAGCAGAGCTTTCGGAAACTGCCCGGCTCTGCCTCACCACGTCCGAGGCTCCAGCAGAGAGGAGGGGAGAGGCAGCTGTTGACACACAGAGCTACACCCCTGAGTCAGGCTTTGCCTTTGCTACCTGGACTCAGGGCGAGTTCAACCAACCACAAGGAAAAAAAAAAAAAAAAATAGAGAACACGTGTCTTAAAGGGAGAATTACACCGCCTAGAGAAGGAATGCAGCAGTGGGAGCCAAGAGCCCTGGCCAGGCCTGCTCAACTGCCAGAGGCTGAATGAGCCCCTGAGGATCTGACATGGACTCCACAGCCATGACTCTCAAAAATGGACCAATTAACCCAGGCTCACCCAACACACCTGGGACCCCAGAGGCCACACTTGTTGATTGTACCTGACAATAACTAGAGGGAGGACCGTCTCTAGAGGGGGGACGGTCTGTAATTGTTAACTGCCCCCCTCAACCCCATTCAGACTATGACTTAAGACAACTAGGAACCAGTCTTTAAAAAGAAAAAAAAAAAAAAAAATCAGGGGTCAAGACTTTCAGGGATTATTTTTCTACATGCCTTCAGAGAAGTTGAAGAGTTGATACAGCCTATTATATTTTAGTTAACTCATCTGATTTCATTTATCCTTGTTTATAACAGGTATTCCAAATAAGATTACACTCCCTTTTTAAATTCCATACACATACCTCCTTCTCCATTAATAAGGCTTCATGTAAATAGATAAGGGAGCCTGCTATCTACAACCCTAATAAAGGATGCCCCTGAGATTCTGCCAGGGATATTAACCAGCCCTGCCTTCCATCTATGTCTGAAGCCTTGACTCAGGCCTACATCCCCTGCTAAAGAGAGTTATGCCAAACAGCAGCATGAGTTGTCTCAGTATGAAGGAAAAACAGCTATGAAAGTCTTCAATGAGCATGAGCCAGGGGTTCAAGAACAGAGCTAACTTTACTCACTACTACCAAATAGCTGTGACTATAGCAGTCTTCTGTCCACAGCTTTTACCTAGGCTCCAACTTGAGCCTTTAAAGCTGTAGAAAACAGATGGTTCCTGAAGAAGTCTAGGGGTAGAGTCAGTAAGTGACCCAAAACAGTACACAAAACTGTGTACGTGTAAATATGTGGAACGTATATACATTTAGGTGGCTAAGAACAATGGAGTTAGAATGCCAAAATTCAAATCTGTTTCCTCTATTATGACCACGTGACCAAATCATTCTCTTAGCCTCAGCTTCCTCATCTGTAAAATGGGAATACTAACCATATGTCTTCATAGGTTTGATGTAAAGATTATCAGACAAAACACTTGGCAAGTCCCTGGCACTTTGCCAGTCCTCAGTGAACACTGCCTGCTATTGCTGTTGTAATTATTAATAAGGACTGAGCTTAATAAGACCTTAGAGATCACCAGGTTTCACCTCTTCATTCGATAGATGCCAAAACCAAGATCAGAAGAGGCTACAGAATACGGCCAGTTAGCAACAGGCTCTTTGGTGCTGCCATTTTTGACTCATTGACCGCAGGCAGCTCCACCAAGTAGTCCTCGTCCCCTGCAGGCAACAGCCCACGGATCACTGAGGATAATAATGCCTGGCTGTGCCCCCTCACAGCACGTGCACAAATACTTCTGGAGTGAATGGATGGCGCCAGATCAGTGGTGCTTAGATGTTCTGCGCACAAGTGAAGGCGATCAAGAAAGATTACCCGGAGGAAGTGATGCTGATGCTGGTGTTAGTGAAAAAGAAGGAAAAAAGTACCAAACACAAATGGAACAGAACAATGAGAGCACAGGACGCTTGGCAGAGGCAGAGTTAAGGGCTAGGCTAAGGAATTTAAACTTCACTGTGAAAACTCTGTAGCGCTTACAGGATTATAAACAGAGAAGTTAAAAGACCAAATTCATTTAGGAAGATCACTCTGGCAAGGATTTTGGAGTCGGGTGGGGGGGGGGCACCAAGTGGTAAAGGATCTTAAATTTAGTATTTTACAATTAATGTGGAGCTCTTTTGAGGGCAATTTGACATCTGTCCCCAAAATGCACATATTCTCTAACCTATCAGTTCTGCTTTTAGAACCTGTCCTCAAAAGTCACATGAGCAATGATGTAGATGTAAGATATTCACTGCATCCTTTGGACTGGCAAAAGATTGAAGTGAAACGAGTTAAACGAGTTGTCATACACACATGTAATGGAATACTATGCACTGGTTTGAAAAGAACTAGGCAGGTCAGTCTGTACTCATATATGGAATGACTGCCAAAATTAGCACGTGAAGAAAACCATTTGTGAGTATGCATGTATTTTTAAAGGGGATACACATATACACACATGCATGCCTGGAAAATCTCTCTCTGGAATGATGCATAAGAAATTGGTAGCTAACGACTGCCTTCGGGGAGAAGTGAGTGATTAACAGGAAAAGAACTCATTTTTCAGTGTACATATTCCCCTTTAATCTCCTTGAGCCGTGTACTGTGTACCTGTATTACGTATTCAAATAGATAAAAATGTAAAATAAAATTAATGTAGCAAGGTTTTCTTGCACACCGCCTCTCTCCTCCCTCAACAAACTCACATTCAAATAAACCTAACTGCTCCTCCTGCCAGGAATACAGTCACTTCCAGGGCTCAGCACAAGGGGCATCTCCTGGAGGAGTTCTGACACTTCCTACCATGCCCACCTCCAGTAGGACTAACCCCCTTCTTACATCCCAAGTGTCCTGAGCACCCTGCTATGACTATACCTCTAACAGGTTAATACATCTACATGTTTATCTGTTTCACCTCACCAGACTCAACAGGGTACTTAGGAAAAGAGAGGGCAACAGGACCTGGCACCTGACAGGCAGGAAACAAACAAATGCTTGTCAAACTCATGAATACTGTGGGGAGGAGCCCATATAGTACTGGGAAGAAGATGCATACAGATGAGCTCCTGTTTTGTTTTAAAGAAACAACTGACTCCTCCCTTATTGTTTAAGCAGCTACCTGGGCCAAAGGACCAATTCCACCATGAAGCCTAAGACCTGATTAAGCGAAGAACAGATGGCGGTAAAGACGATGGGAGCTCTACAAAGAAAAAAAGATGAACAGAGGGTAGTCAGTAGAGTGTTTACATGCAAGGCTAGGCCGAGAGTTAGTGCTTCAGAAGTAATACAGAGAAAATGGAAGCCCTACAACCCCAGGTATTGCTCAGAAAGGGAGAACCCAGTTACTGTAGAGAAAGGGTTACCTATGCACATCTCTTCATTTTAAGAAGGGATCTGCTTTGAACACAGAATTAAAAAAATAAAACTTATCCTTGAATTGTGACTTTAGATCAAGTGCAAAGAAAAAACACTTCAGAACAAATTAACTATTCATTACCCCTAGAGAAACACACAGACAAAAACTTGGGAGGAGGAGGAGGGGAAGGAAAAGAATCTATCTCACTTGAGTATTCCTTTGGTGCTTTTCTTCCCCAGACAGAAAGTAGATGCTGGTTGGCAGGGGCTGGGGGAAGAAAGAACAGTTAGTGTTTAGTGAGTACAGAGTTTCAATTTTGCCAGAAGAGCTGTGGAGATGGACGGATGGAGGTGATAGCTGTACAACAGTGCGAATGCACTTACTGCCACTGAACTGCACACTTAAAACTGGTTAAGACGATCGATTTCATTTTATGTGTATTTTACCACAAAAAATTTTGGAAAAAAACTATGATTAAAGAGGAGCCTGGAACTAAGCCTCATGTTCAAAGCTGGCACTCATCCATCCTCACAAGGCATGTAACATTTAAACTTAGCGGTACGATGAAAGGAAAGGGTCCAGGGCTGCAAGTCAGTCCCCTCTCTGCCACCAAACAGCTGGCTGGTCACAAAGGCTCCCTGGCTTCCATTTCCATATCTAAAAAAGGCTTGAAGGTCTCTCTCAGCCAGAGAATTCACAACATCCGAGCTTCTCTGCATATAATACAACTCTGCCTGCCTTCCCCTCTAAAATATGGGGTCAGGAGGAGTCGTGGAAAATCTAGATTCATCCTTCTGATATTCTTCCTTGGGACTGGTGCTGCTGTCCCAATAACATGTGGTAAAGAGAGACTCCATGAGCTAGAATGTCCGGCCCTCAAGGTCAGCATCTGGTCTCTCCCACCTCTGTGAACTCAGAACATTAAAAGCTGGGTGACTGTGCTCTGCTGAACGTCATGAACATTCATTTCCTTTCAGAACAATCCTCTATGAGGCCCCATGGCTCTGATTTTGGGGAAGCCACTTACCTCACCTCTGCCTCTATACCCTTGTCTATAAAATGGGGTTGTTGCTTGCTTTAACTATCTCCCTACTCTGTAGTGAGGCTCAAAAAGGACAAAATACAAAAGAAAGCTCTGTAAACTGGGTCCTTCTATCTACAGTTTGGCCTAGGAGCCAAGACAGCAGAGAGCTATCTATGGGCATTTTTTATCTGCCCATAAGAAATGATGATGCAAACATGACACGCTTCTGGAGTAAAGGACAACCTGTAACACAAGCCCAAAGTCCAAATGGTTTGCTTGCTTACTTTGCCACAGATGCTTCCAGGTTAACCAAAGAGCC